AGAGACATTTTTTTGGAGTGTAAAGAACAGAGAGATCTGTTTATTTCGGTGAGTGTTTATTTTATTTTTGTTCTCTTAATCAAATGTTTAGTTTGGTAACTTTCATGTGGGTTTCTGGTGAATGATTCGATTCCATTATTATTGCCTAATTTCATTTTTTTTGTACCCTTTATCAATATTATTGCATAATGGAAGGTTCATGTCACTGGCCGTGGGCCTAATCTTCATTGTTGTTAGCTAATAACAATAATGTCGAAATTTTTTTGGTTTGCATTAATTGTTTTTTTTGTTCACTTATATAAATAGTTGATTCTCTAACAAAAAAAAGGGTTTTTAGTACTTTCTTCTTTTACATCAAAACAAGAAACAAAAAAAAAAGTTTAGATTTTTGTTTCTTGAGTTTTACCTTTTTCTCATCTCTCTGTTCTTATGTTCTTTTCTCTCATTCTTGAGTTGATTTGTAATTTTATTTGCAGGGTTTTAAGAAGAAGTTGGATTGTCAGATTCTCTCAAGTTCGTTTTCTTCAGATTTACTTTAAGATGAAGTGAGAAACTTCAAGAATCAACAAAGAAAAAAACAAGAAAAGCTTGAAACTTTCACAAGGTACGACATTTGACTTTATTACTTCCTTTGTATGAATCTTTCTTCTGAAATTTTCAAACTTTGATTTGTATAATCTGAAATCTGAGAGTTTTTACTGTTTAAGCCTTAAGACCAAAGAGCTCTGTTTTTGGGGGCTTGAAAATTAAATTGTCTTTTAAGGCTCTGTTTGGTTTATAGCTACATACATAGCTAGTGAATTTAGAGTCTAGAGAACCACAATGAGACATAGATTGTGGGTCTTGTGTCTGCTTGGTACTAAATGTGTTTGGTGGGTTTGTCAGGCTTGAAGCTTGTCCTCTTGTTTCTTCAAATGGTTTTAAAAGAATCAATTTTTACCCATACATTTGGTTTTTAAGGTTTGTACTGTTTTCACATTAGGGTTTTTTTTTTGGTTATATGTTAAATACAGATTTGTTTCTTTAATGTTTCTTTTTTCAGAGATGTGAATTATTCTGCTCATAAGTCATGTGTTTTTTGCAGAGATATATATTTGGTTGCAACCATCATTTTATTATTATATGTTTGATTCTGTAGCTCCACATTTGACTAAATTAGCCCCACAAATAAATAAATAAAATGTAGATTGGATTCATTCATGTAAAGAAATGGTATACACACACAACTTGTTTATTCTTTATTCATTCATGTAAAAAAAATAGCATTTTCTAAGCATGAACCATGAAGTCTTCACAACTCTGTGTGAATATTTTAATGAAGTATTCATTGTATATATATGCATCTAGATATGTATGTGTGTATAGATCTCTCTTTTGTGAATTTTGATGATCACTATTAGTGAAACATTGTTTTGACATTGAGCTTTTTCATATAGTTCTTCACATAAAGCAAGTCTTATTTGTGGCCCTCCATTAACGGTCCTTGATCCAAGTATTAAAGCTTGTTACTCTTTTTTCTTTATGTATCAAAAACATTCATCATTGCAAAGTCTCTTTCATTCTCTTTTCTTCTTTGCTTTTTAAAGGATCCTTTTGTGGTGTTTCTTCTTGTCTTATTTGGTACTGTGTTCTTGATACTATTGTCCTCATGGATTTTTGCAGATGGAAACTGTGAAACCAATGGTTGTTGCTCCTAAGGGTAATAAACTCAGACGCACGTTTGCTAAAGTTCTCAACATTCATAAGCTAACGGGTGTGGCTCCACAAGGAGAAATGAAGAGGATAAAGTACGAATCCAAGAATGCTAATCTGTCAAAGTCTTTCTACAAGCTTGAAGAAGAGTATGAGAGAAGTCTAGCATTGGAAGCTCTTCTTGCGAAGCTGTTTGCTACGGTTTCTTCTATCAAAGCGGGTTATGCGCAGTTGCAGCATTCTCAGTCTCCGTATGACTCAATCGGGATTCAAAAAGCAGATAACTTGGTGGTAGCTGAGCTTAAGACTTTGTCTGAGCTGAAAAATTGTTTCTTGAAGAAACAGATGGATCCGAATCCCGAAAGAACGCTGGTTCTCGCTGAGATTCAAGAGCTGAGGAGTTTATTGAAAACGTATGAGATCATGGGGAAGAAGCTGGAGTCTCAGTATAAGCTTAAAGACTCAGAGATTATATTCCTAAGAGAGAAGCTCGAAGAATCGACGAAACAGAACAAGTTGATAGAGAAGAGACTTAACCAAAGCGGACAACTTTGCAATCCTTTAGACAATCTTCACCTATCGGCGCTAAATCCAACCCATTTCGTTACTTATCTCCATCACACGGTAAAATCCATCAGAGGATTCGTCAAGCTAATGATCGAACAAATGAAACTCGCGGGATGGGACATTTCCTCGGCTGCTAATTCGATCAATCCCGGTGTGTTCTATTACAAGCAAGACCACAAGTGTTTCACTTTCGAACACTTTGTCTCCAATGAAATGTTCGAAGCGTTTCATCTACCGTACTTCTCAACCTCAACCGAATCAAGAAGCTACAAGAAGAAGAAAGAAATGTTCTTCGAAAGGTTTATTGAACTCAGGTCGATGAAATCGAAAGATTTCTTGAAAGCAAAGCCAAAATCAAGATTCGCTCGGTTTTGTCGAGCTAAGTTCTTGCAGCTTATACATCCAAAGATGGAGCAAGCTTTCTTTGGACATTTGCATTTGAGGAACCAAATCTCTGCTTGTGAATTCCCTGAGACGAGCTTGTGCTCTGGATTTCTCGAAATGGCGAAAAGGATTTGGCTTTTGCATTGCTTGGCTTACTCTTTTGATCATGAAGCTGAGATCTTTCGAGTACCTAAAGGTTGTAGATTCTCTGAAGTGTATATGAAGAGTGTAGCTGAAGAAGCGTTTTTTCCGACGTCGGAGAGTTCGCCGGAGTCTGAGCCACGTGTTGCTTTCACGGTGGTCCCAGGGTTTAAGATCGGAAAAACTTCAATACAATGTGAGGTGTATCTATCGCTTCCGGTGGTGGGTTAATTTGGTAATTTCGGAAAGTGGTGGGGTATTTTTTGGAAAAAAGGAAAAGTCAGTGGACGGTTTGGTTGTATCGTGAAGTGATGGGGTACTTTTTAGAAAAAAGGGGAAATTGTGGGGCGTTGGATTTGAAGTAGCGGAAGTAGTGTGGTGTTTGTGTTAATGTTTTTTTTTTCCTCTGTCTTTTTTTGTCGATATTAGTGCAGAGAAGAAAAAAAAAACAGAGGCATCTATTAGCTGTTGTCCATTGAATATTTATCTCTTTTTCAATATAATAATATGTAAATATTTAATATAATTTTTCTAATTATGTTTTTTTGCCTACTTGGAGAAAAATAAAATGTGGAGCGTAATATTGGAATGCTGAATGTATTAATACATTTGTATGTGTCCAAAAAATTTCATAGGG